AATGCGTCAACAAAGGCGTTCGACGGGTGGGTGTTGAAAGACGCAGGGCTTAGGTGCGCAAGGGAGGGTGGGTAGGGTAGGCCGGCGGAAAGAGAGTCAACGGAGTGTCCGAAGAGAAACCCGGTCGCCGAGTCGAGAGTGAAGCGTCCAAAGAGGTCCTAATGAGCAAGGAATGAGTTTTGCTTGATCAGAAAAGAACTGAAGGGAAAGGTCAGGCACTCACCTGGACGTTGACGGAGTGGCCCTGAGCAAGCCGTTCTCTGGCGAGGGTGAGAGCTTTTTCGCCATTTCGGTCGTAGATATCGAAGTCGCTCAAGCGTTCTCGAGTGAAGAAAGGGCGGGTTAGCGATCTGTGGAACCTGAGGAGGATAGCAAGGAGAATATTAGGTGGACAATGCAACGATGTAGTGAGATTGGAAACGTACTTCCACATTTGACCTGGAGAAGAGGGCTATATCAATTGCTCGAGCGCTTGACTAGCAAACGGCACCCACCATCAGCGTTGAAAACACCAGTGCCCAAAAGAGAATCCACTTGTTCTCGGAATAGCGGTCCTACAAAAATATGAAAGAGTTGAGGGTCTAAAATGACTTAGACGTCAGCCCGACGCACCTTTCTCAAAAGCATCAAATTGGGTCGCAAGCATCGTCTGCACTCTGAAATCAGTTGGTGCAAATGGAATTACAAGATTTGTGGACAATCCCAGACCTTGATAAATTCGGGGTCGTCGGTGAAGATCTTTATAGAACAGAAAAAAACATCAGAAGGATAATTCACGAAAATAGGCAAAGCCTACAGCAGTGGTGCTCAACATGTTCATTCGGTATGTAGAGCCATACGTTTCTGACCATCTGCGGAAGTGTTCGGCTGGAGTGTTGCAGTGTTATTAGACCAGTGAGGTAACGGGCTTGAGAAGTATGACGCACCAGGAAATCCGCCTTTCAGGGTCTCAACGATGTCACCGATGATCTTGAAAGACGACGCTTGAACAGTCGGGGGGAGCACGGCGCCCTGCCTAGTTGCCGCCCATTTATAGGCAAACTCAGAATAGTAGGCATTGGCAAAGAAGATGAAGGGTCGTGCAAAGAAAGTGGCGGGTATGACGACCCATAACGGAATATGAATCGAAAGGAAAGATTGCGCGGCGTGGAACGAGCCGTAGACTACCGCAGATGGCAGGGCGAAGTGAGGTACGACACGGAGGAGGTAGGTGAGACCCGGAGCTCTTCCTGTCCCCATTGCGTCGCGTACTGGTGGTGGTGGTTGGTGGACAGCAAGCAGCTAATGTTAGCTCTGCCAACCCTCACGTTGTCATTTCTAATACCCTCCAAAGATTGATTATCGGGCGCTATATCTCCCTCGCTGACACCCTCCAGGCGAGCCCAGAAAACAACTGGTTCACTTCTTCTTGAACGTGCGTCAAGATCGGGGCTCATCACCATACTGCGAGTGCTACGGATAGGTCACTTCCGACCTGGCCAATGTCGTTCCGCGAGATAGTAACGCAATCGCCCATCGAAGATGATGGATCAGAAAGGATCACGAGCTGAAACTCTGGACGTTGCATGCCATATGGGAGACCAAGCGCCCATTTCGGGGATAGACGGAGAGAACGGGACGTAGTACCCTCCGTGCGGGATGATATCGGGAGACGGTTGCTGGAAATTAAGGTCATAGTCTCATAGACAGATAACGAGAAGCATAAATGGTTGAACCAAGGTTAGATTATGGAGTACAACATACAGCATCAGAAGGTTACGATCGTAGCTTACCCGGAGGGAGAAAGTATGCCCGACTCGTGAGGGAAGAATGTGAGAGCAAGAGAGGCAGGTTTCGAGACTGATCTGGACTTGCATGTTCAGAGACACTGGAGGAAGGAGGTATCAAGGAAGTCGTCCTGACTCCTCTTATCGAAGCTGCCAGAAACCGACATACAAACCAGTCCATCACACCAGAATTCTGACGAGACCGAGCCAGAGAGAACGTAATCTTCTTCAGAACCTCCCTTGAGTACGCGGGGAACTGTCTGGTGCCTGTCAACGTCCAACGGAGCATCAGTAAACCGAAGGAAGGAGAAGCACGGAAAAGATCAGAGATTCAAGGTCTCGACATTGTCTTTTAAGACAGGGATAACTGAATAAAAATGGTTTCATCTTCGAAGGTAGGGGCACACAGAAGTGTCGTCAATTTGAGCAGGAGAAGAATACTGACCGCCGATTGATGCGCTTCCTCCGATCCAGCATATCCAGACCAACAAGAACTTCCACCAATGGACGGTATCCGCGAGTCCTTACATTCCAGTTGGTCTGCAGATGAGAATGGGAAAGGAAGCGCCGCGTCCATCTATGTGTATTCCTAGTCAAAAAAGCCGGGGACGGCAAAAAACTTAGAAAACTTACCTTGTTGAATGTAAGCCGCTATCTATAGCACAAAGACGCAAAGAGTGGGTGAATACGAGTATTCTTGTACTGCCATCCAGGCCGTGACGGTCGTGAACCGATATTCCAGGTGGGATGTAGTCGTTGTTGGAAAAGCGAGGAGAAAATCCAGGTGGCAGCGCTGACAAATCCTTCCCACGCTAGAAAACGGCACACGTGCTCAACAGCTTGATCAGGGCTTCCGAACTTGAAAATTGAACTCAGACGGACGCTGTCATAAGAGGTGTGACCATGTATTCCTCCAAAGTCCCATACATAAATATAACCAATAAATAAATCACTACGGTTTCTGTTGATATCGTAAAACTACAAAAAGAATGGTTGTATTGTATGGCGACACGTACGAAGCCTAAAACGAACGAATGCCAAAGTACTGAAATAGTAACGTCCTACACTTCTACCAGTGAGTTATCCTTGAAGGGAACATGTTTATGCGATGTCGAGCACTGTTGATTTCGTGGTGTTGACGTATACACCGAGCTTGGGTTCTTCGTACGTAGTGGCCTGGTTGAAGGACTAATCGAAGGATATTGGGCGTGAGATGAAAGGATGGACGCGCATAACACCCACCTTCTTTCCAATCTCTCCATGCGTCTGGCTCTTTGAGTGAGAGTGTCCCGACGAATCACCTGTCACCGACATCTCGAGGAACGTTGCGTTCTTCATGAGCGGCTTCCTCGCGTTCAACGAGGCCAACATCGAATTGACGTATCTAGTTCCAGTCAGGCGTTAGCTGGAAATGGAGTAAGAGAAAACGAAAGAGACGCACAGTCTACCAACGCAGAAGTAGAAGGCGCCATAGATATACGTTCCCGGGAAGGCCAGGACACACATGAGCGTCAAGATGGCGCAAAGACTGGTAACAGCTCCAGTGTTGATGGCGTACAGCTGGTAACGGAATGAGACACTTAGAACCACTGGAGAGAAAGGGAAGGACGTGCCATGAGTTTGTTGATCATGCTATTCGAGTGTTTATGGCCTGTCCGCGAAGTGTACAGCAAGTACACCATCGTGCCGGCCAGCAGGATGTCGCCCGCCATGGCGGAGCCTTGTGCATATTGCACGAGTGTATGGTAGCGGTTGTTCGCGTCCGTGATGCTTATTCTTGTAGCGGCCTTGGCGATCCAAACTACAGAGATAATCAAGGTCGAGGATGAGTTAAGG